TACCTCATATCAGGTTTTCGATCGCTTCTCCCCTATGCATGGGTGTACCCACAACAAGTGGGTGTGACCATTCTCTGTGGTCCTGGATGCATCCTATAGTCCCGCAGGGTGCACCCACTATACGTTGGTGGGTGCATCCTAGACCCACCTGGGCACACCCACCCTTTCAGCCAGGGGTGCACCCATCCAGCTTAAATATGTCCGTGGGTCCACCCCCGCTATAGGGTGGATGGACCCACCGTCGGCCACGGATGCACCCATTTATGTCTGTGGGTGCACCCCCTATAGGAGCGGATGCACCCACTGTTGTAGAAAAGCCATGGGTGCACCCACCTTTGGTACATCCCGATCCAGGGTGCATCCACATCTTGGGCGCATCCATACTTTTCCTTTCCCGAGGATGGCTGCACCCGTGCTCTCACAATGTCCTTGTGGATGCACCCACACAGCAACAATAGCTCCAAGATAATAAACCAATGGCCTGAGGTGTACATGTCCCCTTGATTTTATCTGATCTTCATTTGTTTCATTGACTTCAACCTCAATGGCCTCAGGTATGCATGTCCCCTTGCTCCGTTTGTTTGGTTGACTTATAACGATTTCCGGTTTGCACCCACTACCTTTGGATTAATTCGTTCTCACATTGCAGGCCAACTTAAAAGTCACAGGTTTCAAAGTTCAATGTGCTATCCAGACTCGTAGTGTATGTGCTACACATAGGTATGCCGGGGTTTGCCCGGGTCATGATATCTATCTTCGTTTCGGCACTTCTATCTCTTTTTCAATCTGGTAGCTTTCAAAACGGATACTCGATCACCATGCAGATACATTTCTCTGTTTCCCGCCCGTGTTGTAATGATAATATATACACAGGTATACATAATATCTCTCATATAAGGGCGCTCTTGGCTGGCTCTTATGATTGCCGTTCTTTCTTGTGCGATTCAAGTGAGTCTTATTAAACTTGTTCAGACGCGTTGAAGTGGAGCGCTCTTGATCCAGTACTCACGGTGAACCAAGATTTGGGGTAAGCAAACGTGAATTGTACTTTGCATTACTGAACTGTATTCTACAGGGCGCATTGTAATTATGAAGGTTCAAAAATGGAAGACTTGGCACATAGATCAGAAATTGACGCAGACTCGCGGCAAATGTACCCTATTTGCATTTATTCCTCTATTGGTCCCAATTCAAAGTAGTGCCCGAGTAGCTGAGTGGTTAGATAGCATTGCGAAATTGAGGTCAGTTAACCTCGGCGCACTGACCTCAACAAGACACCGTCGCACCTGTTCGTTGGTGGACCCGCTGCCCCGACCGGTGCTCCTGCCTCGAGCGTGTCGACTCTTCCTTCGGCGCCACCCACCTTTGGCCAACCCGTCCTGAGTCTCCTGCTTTCTTACTCAGTAGTGACGACGCCCCCGAAGGATGTCCCGATGCCACCGCCGGGTGTTCAGGTTCTTGGTTACGAGTCCTGAAAATTTATTTTTAGACTCGTTCTTTAGGCAGCTTCTGTCCCGTACCGCCAATGACCTATCACCTTTTCGTTGATGGACTCTGGCGTTAACATCGTAGCATCTCGACATCCGGTCTTCTGGGCTCTCCCAGTCATAGAAGCAGTATTGGATGAGGCGCCACGTATCTCGATTTTACCCTTTGACTCAAATGATTTACAAGTCAGATTCATGGGAGTTTGTGCCACGTAGATTGTGAAGATTAATGTAAGACTCAACTTCCCCAGCAATTGTGAGGTTCCTGCTTATCTTGAACTTGAAATAGCTATGTAACTGACATACTCTTCACTTCAGTTGTTGAATTGACTCGACGACGAGTCGAGCAAGAGAACAACGAAGAAACGATGAGAATGCTGTATCCGGGAAGTTCGGTATCCAAGTGCACACACTTCTCCTGTGTTGAGCCTGCACCGGAGATGGGACAATTCAGCGCGCAGATTAATTGACGTGGCATTGCCCGACTTAGTCCTTATCCGAGTCATACTCAGTCATCAGTCAATCCGTTTCCGGGAAAACATGAAACAAATCAAAGAATCAAAATTTGTATTCATTCTTTGAATGACTCGTTGTTTGTGTTGCAGAGGGCCATAATTCTCCGGTGAGATAAATCTTCATCATGGGGGTTCAACCCGAGGAAAAAATGTCAACACGGCATGATCCATAATTTTTGTCCAGAAGGAGGCATTCTGGGTTGGGGTAGGAAGAAATCTGATAACTATTCATTACTAGTATCATTACCTTACACTTCTATAGCACGTACATTGTGCCATTGGTCCACTGTGGAAGTCATGTGTGTTTTATTTTGATGGACGTGGTTCAAGAAGCTTTGATCCGAAGTCGGCATTTGATGCCGTTGACATATTTGCCGACATGCCGAACCAGAACGGGTCGAATTGCCCAGCAATACTTCCACTATAATGCTGGCTGATGGTCGATGTTGCACGTGGATGCCCCACCACCGTTCGTTGTACCTGTGCCCCAACTTTGCCTCTCGGTCTCGTCGTTGATTTTTCTTGACATCGTGCGGGGCGGGGCAACAAACTCGCTCGGTCCATGGAGGCCGTGGTATGAGGGAGGGAGAGTTTCACTAAAGGCTGTAAACAAAGGATATGAGCCTTATCTTACATATTTGGAACCCGATTGGCTTTGTCCAGATTAATAGTTGCTGTATCGAAAATTGGACCACAGGATACGGAGGTGGCTCATTACTTTCAGTGGCTGAATGGTACATACTGAAGAAGAGATTAATAAAAGAGAGAGGAAAATAAACAGGACTCGTACTGCCATGCGGAGCAGTGGCCTCAAACCCAAGTCGTTGGGGAGTCCGTTTTGGGGCGCGTTTCTTTTATCTCATTTCAAGGGGGTCCAGTTTTCGGAGCCCCAGACACAGGGTCGATTTCCGAAGGGTTTTTCGATGCTGAGTCCGAATATCAACTTTTTATGGCCAACGGAGCAGTCGCCATCGAGCTTTGTACTCCGACATTATTGCTTTATTTGGGTGATAACAGCTGATAACAAGTGTACAGCCTTGACCAAACAGGAAATTTCCCATGATCTCTGCTGACAATCAAAAGCCACGTAATTTCTCCAGAAACTAGTTCTCGAACGACACATCTACTTTCCCCGATCTTAACACAGGAATGGGTGCGGGCAAGCCTACACTGCCCCTGGAACGTACCTCGCCCTCCACATTTTGACAGTTCTCCTCATTTTTCATGCGGGATAGATGCACTTCCGGGTGATTTCTGCTGAGAAACAAGGCGGGGCTCGACATTTAAAAGCCCGCGGCACAGTTGGTACAAGTCGTGCGTCCACCACCCACTTGGCTCTACTCGCAGTTGTCCGGCCACAAAATTTACAAAATGTGCTTCAGCTTCCTCCTCGCGGCCGCCGCCCTGGTCGCCGGCATCCCTGCCCAAGATTCCCCCGCCACCAAAGACCAAACCTCCGACGCCCTCGGCTTCACCGCGGCGAACGACTACGACTCACCGATCCCCCCGTGGCAGCCCGACAACCAGCCCGGGTGGCACTATGGTGTGGGCCCGCCGCCCGCGGGACTCACCGTCGTCCTCGACAGCGTCCGTCTGCTCTGATGATGACAGCCGTGTCCGCATGCGACTGATCTTGCAGGTCTTCTGTCTACTTTTGGAACTACTCCTCGGGTTCCACTGCCCGGCGCCGCCCCCGCACCAACCGCAGCCGGAGTACACGCAGACGTTTAAGAACCTGACGTGCGCGTCCCAGGACAACAGCTATCAGACGTTTGGGCTCGTCGACACCGTTGGAGGTACTTGCCTTTATTTCCACGCGTCTAGTGAATTCTTATGTTGCTATTTCAGACTGCCAGGCCATGTGCGACTCTATTACTGGATGCACTTTCGTCAACAGTGAGTGGCTTACCTCTTTTTCAGTCCCTTCCATTTCAAATCCCCACTAGGCTACCACGACGTTAACGGCAAGGTGCACGGTTTTTCTCGATCTTCGTGCTTTCTGCCGCTGATATTGCATTCAGGACGGGAGCCCGCTCCTCACCTGCTCGCTCTTCACCGAATGCCTCACGGCGTCGACTGCGGACAATTGCGGCGGACAGACGCAGGCAGATGGCAGCGTCGACTTTATCATCAATTCCGATGGATATTGCAAAAAGACTCCAACTGCTTGAGGAAGGGTGGGAGAGATATATACCCAGAGTTTGGTTGGAAAGTTTCCTGAACTGGACAGTTGTCCGGAGGACTCGTTGTTTCTGTCAAATTTCTGTTAGGATTCAATCTATGATTTTCGAACGATGGCGAGTGCCAAATATCGAAACATTTTGCTTGATATCGGCAAGGCCATGAAACTTGGGCAGCTGCCCTAGAGGAAAGAAAACAACATGAAATCCCCGTAATATAGGCACTCTAGTCGGGTGTCTCAATCTCCTACACAAAAACTCGGGGGATACTTGGTTGAGAGGGGCAAAGTGAAGATGCACGGTTGAAAATTGAGATTGATCAGTCCTTACCCATGTGGTCAGAACTGTGTGGATTTAAGGCCCTGACACCGGTCTAGGTAAGCCTCTACCTCCAGTGCCGGCGGTGCTCACTGACATTTGACGTGTTGCTGAGTCAAGTTTCTTTTTCCAGGTTTTTGCCTCGATTTCCACGTGGGTTGACAAAGGTCAGTATCATGGGAGTGCTTCATGGATGAGCACTAGGAGCGACCGAGTCTCGGGGTGAATCCTCAACAACCGTTCCTCGAAATTGCTTAGAGGTCATCGAAACTCTCAGGAGGCCCTTCAGCAACTTTACGGGTGCCGTATGAATCTCGCATCAGTTTATCGGATTGACTTCATTGAATTTGTTGGAGTTGACAGAGTTGGGTGTGTAGAGGGCTTAAGGGAATGAGGTATTGGGAATAATAGAGTTGAAGGTGAATCTTGAATGCCAGTGAACAGCGCCAAAGCCAAAGTGGTGACTTGGGGCTTGAACAAGTTTACAGGATGCAGGGAAAGACTCGAAAGCGGAGTGGTCCGCGTCTGCTTTGCATTGAGGCGTAATAAGACATGGTTTACAAATGCAGATATTGTCGGTTCGACCCCGGCTCGAGCTTGAGGCACGTTGTAAACAGTTTTTTCCGCCTTCCTTTTCCTAAATAAAATAAGAGAGATTTACTTATGCCTAATGCACCATCCCTTTTTCCTGCAGTGCAGAGGTTGTGCAGTATATTGAGCCACAAAGTGGGAAAGGAAAGACTTGTAGCAGTGGTCAGCGCCTGTACTCTATTAGAGGTATGGTATGTTCCAAGCAAAATCCCGGTTCGATTCCGGGTCGAGTCATTGATGTCGCTCTCAGGTGTCTTTTTTGTTTTGTGGTGCAAATGTTGAGCATCAAAAATGAGCAAAAGAAAGACTCCATAGCGGTGGTCCGCACCTGCCTCCAATATGCCAGGCATGGACATTTGCGGGCAGGAACTCCGGTTCGATTCCAGCCTAGTCAGGAATTTCCAGGTCAAGTCATAGAAGTCGACGGTGTATTTTTTGTTTCGTGGTGTGAAGAAGTCCAAAATGTATATGGAAAAGTTTGCAAGTGGACCCAGTTGGATTCCGAATCGAGTCATAGAGCGTCGGTGATGCCACTTTTTTTTTTTTCGGCAGTGCGAAGGAGTTTAAATCAAAATGTTCCTGGTAGATCAAGCCCTAAAAGGGAGCAAGGGAAGACTTGTAGCGGTGGTCCGCACCTGCCTCGAATATCTCTTCAGGCTTGCAAGAGGAACTCGGTTCGATTCCGGGTCAAATCATAGCATGGATGATGCCACTTTTTTGCCTCGCGGTGCAGAGGTTGTGCAGTATATCCAGCCCCAAGTAAACAAAATGAAGACTTGTGATGGTGGTCCTCACCTGCCTCCAATGCACTTTGTGCATACAAGTTCCAGCAGGAAACCGGTTCGATTCCAGGTCGAGTTGTAAAGTGAACATGTTGGCTTTTTTCGTCATCTTCGTGGTGATCCTTACTTCAACGTATGCTGCGGCTTGGGTGTGTGTTAATCTTTTGAATTTGTTGGAGAGGGTGGGAATTTAACGGAGTTGAGTTGAGTTGGGGATACATACCTCTGAGCGGAAGGGACTCTATTGTACGAGGGCAAGGAAGGAAAGACTCATAGCGGTGGTTTGCACCTGCCTCAAATTCCACATATATGTACAGTGTTGGTAAGCGGGGTCCGGGTCGAGTCATAGCAGCCAACTCAGATGCTTTTTTTTTTCGGTGTTAAGGTTGTGCAGTATATTGAGCCCAAAGGTAAAGAGAGGAAGACTCGTAGTGGTGGTCCGCACCTGTGTCACATTCTTCAAACCCGTACAAGTTTGCAAGTGGGAACCGGTTTGATCCGGGTCGAGTCATTCATTGCTTCTGTGTAGGTTAGGATCTACGAGTACAGCTGTCATAGAGCTGCCTCGGAGTTTGAAAATTTTGATGTGTGATGCTCTCCCCTCGTCAAGACTTACGCTGAAGCCGTTTTTGCGCAGACTTCACATTTGGATCAATACGAGGCGACCTCATTTTTTTCAGCTTTTTGTGGCTGGTATTGAAGGAGCTTTGAGCTTTTCTTTTTCGCGCTTTCAGCCCAAAATTGATGGATCGACATGTTGGTGTTTCCATGGCGTCACAATTTCAAACTCCGAGGCAGCTCTATGACAGCTGTACTCGTTAACTCCAGCCTCTATAGTATACGTGATCTGAACGACTGTCTTCAGATTTCACGCAAGCTATACTAGAGAGGCTGGTATCGAGCCTAGCTTCTGTGCTGTGTTTTTGTCCATCCCTTTTTTCTGCAGTGTGGAGGTCATCCAGTATATTGAGCATCAAAGGTAAGGAGAGGAAGACTTGTAACGGTGGTCCGCACCTGCCACACCTAAACCCCAGTGAGAATCCCGTATTGGGAGATGTGTGCAGAACGGGAGATATAATTGCAATCAATACATATCGATACATATCGTTTTAAATCTGTGCGGTCAAGATTTCAATCAAAAACCAGGCCGCTGGTCTGTTCATATCTGTCGCCAGTGTGGCCTGAGTGGAATATTCATGCATATTCATGAAGAGGTCCGTGCGCACTATATTTACGAACACTGAATGATCGGAGATCTTGCTTCCCTTCTTTCGACCCCCATCTTCAAATTTCCCTCTCACTTCAAAGTTGCTGGTCTCTTCTTTCCTTTGTTTGCCAAGCTGCCTCAAGTTCCAAGATGACCATTAATCCAAGCTTTAACCCTCAAATCTACTCCTTTCCCGAGGTTTACAATGCAACGTCTGCAAGATCTGTTCTTTTACTGTACGGTGTGTCGCACAAGATTTGGATTGAAGACCCCAATTGCCAAGAGCCTACAATGTCGAGCTTGTGCATCAAACTCAAGCATTTCGAACTCCTGGCTGTTCTACTTGTACAACCCGCAAGACAAGATTCCTCCTTCAACAGATGTTCATAGTGTCTTTGTAACATTTTTGACACGTAGCATTTCGTCTTGTAACCCCATGTGCATATACATATGTTATCAACTTATTGATGTCTGCCTGAACACTGGCTTGAGCTCAAAATGAATATAATAGACCAACGGAAACAATATTTCTGCCTGGAGCATTAGCAACCAGACCGAAAATATGATACCAAATATTTCACGATATGAAAAGGTGTGAAAATATCTCACCAGAAAAAAATCTGTTCATGCTCGTTTTTTTGGCGGGGGATCTGTTCGATTGATTTATCACTCTTTCAACAGATCTCCCAATACAGGATTCTCACTGGGCCTAAACACTTGGCATGAAGGTTTGCAAGCAGGAAACCGGTTCAATTCCGGGTCGAGTCTTAGCAGGGCTATTCCGCCATTTTCTTTGCTGGCTCAAAAGTGGTGTGGGATATTGAGCCACAAAAGTAAGGAAAGCAAGACTCGTAGTGGTGGTCCGCACCTGCGTTAGATGGCATCTGAGTATATACATGTAGCAGGGAACCGGTTCAATTCCGGGTCAAGTCATTCAAAATCTTCCGTGTTCTGTTTTGTCCATCCCTTTTTTCCTGCAGTGCGGAGGTTGTGCAGTATATTGAGCATCAAAGGTAGGGAGAGGAAGACTCGTAGGGGTGGTCGGCACCTGCCTCACCTGTGTCGCTTAGTATGAAAGGTTTGCAAGCAGGAACCTCGGTTCAATTCCGGGTTGAATCATTGAGAAATTTGTCGACACATTTTATTCCGCAGTGCGGAGATATCCAGAATTTCCTTGATGTGGTGGGCTGTGCAGTGAAGAAAAGAAAGACTCATAGTGGTGGTTCGCACATGCCTCACCGTTGTGTTCTTTGGTGTAAGGTTTACAAGCAGGAACCCCGGTTCGATTCCGGGCCGAGTCATAGAGTGGCAATGCTCCTTTTTCTCTTCCCGCAGTGTGATGGGAGTCCAGGCAGTACTGCATTGAGCCCCAAAGGTAAGCAAAAGAAAGAATTGTAGTGGTGGTCCGCACCTGCCTCCAATAACTGTGGTCGATGTTTGCAAGCAGGAACCCGGTTCGATTCCGGGGCAAGTCTTGAGGGAGCTATCACATTGTTTTCTTTTTGCTAGCTCGAGAATGTCCTGGTATATTGAGCCACGAAAGTAGGGGAAGGAAAGACTCGTAGCGATGTTTTGCACCTGCACCAAATGAGGGTTCCAAGACTGTATGCAAGCGGGAACCGGTTCGATTCTGGGTCGAGTCATTGTTGTCTCCTGCGATCTTTTTGTTTTGGCGAATGCGAGACTCGGTCAGTTTCTATGAAAAGATCCGTGCAAAAGTACCCTGACCTATTGAGCAATGAAGGTAAGCAAGGAAAGACTTGTAGCGGTGGTCCGCCCCTGTGTCACATTAAGGTTCAGAATAGTGGTTCCAATAATATTTGCAAGCGGGAACCCGGTTCGATTCCGGGTCAAGTCATAAATTATCGTCAGTGACACATTTTTTCCCTTCCTTCCCGCAGTGCAAAGGTTGTCCAGTATATTGAGCATCAATGGTAAGCAAAGGAAAGGCTCATAGCGGTGGTCCGCAGCCGCCTCAAGTTCAGCGTATCAAAATCTTGCAAGCGGGAACTCCGGTTCGATTCCGGGTTGAGTCATGAAGCATCGGGAACATTTCTTTTTTTTTCTTCCCGCAGTGTGAGTGTTGCCCAGTATATCCAGCCCCAAAAGTAAGTAAGAAAAGACTGGTAGCGGTGGTCCGCACCTGCACCAAATGGGGGTCCCAGAATGTTTGCAAGCAGGAACCCCGGTTCGATTCCGGGTCGAGTCATAAAATGTGTATTTTTTGGGATGCAGAGGTTGTCCAGTATATTATGGCCCACACAGGTAAGGAAAGGAAAGACTTGTAGTGGTGGTCCGCACCTGCACTCCATCGTACACCAATAATGTATCCTGTAGCAGGTAACCGGTTCGATTCCGGGTCGAGTCATAGGAGTCGATTTCCATTGCATTTTTTATTTCGTGGTGCAAAGGTCATCCAGTATATCCAGCCCCAGACGTAAGGATAGAAGACTCATAGCGGTGGTCCGCACCTGCCTCACCTATGTGTTACTTGGTGTAAAAACTTGGCAAGCGGGAAACCGGTTCGATTCCAGATCGAGTCATAGAAGTTGATCTCCATTGTATTTTCTTTTGCTAGCTCGAAAGTGGCGTGGGATATTGAGCCACAAAGGTAAGGAGAGAAAGACTCGTAGCGGTGGTCCGCACCCGCCTCAAATTCAGCGTATCAAAAGCTTCCCAGCGGGAACCGGTTCGATTCCGGGTCGAGTCATAGAAATCAATTTCCGTTGCTTTTTTTTTTTCACGTGGTGCAAAAGTACCCTGACTTGCTGAGCAATGAAGGTAAGGAGAGGAAAATTCGTAGTGGTGGTCCACACCTGCCTCAAATTCAGCGTATCAAAAGCTTCCCAGCGGGAACCGGTTCGATTCCGGGTCGAGTCATAGAAATCAATTTCCGTTGCTTTTTTTTTTTTCACGTGGTGCAAAAGTACCCTGACTTGCTGAGCAATGAAGGTAAGGAGAGGAAAGACTCGTAGCGGTGGTGCGCACCTGCCTCAAATTCAGCGTATCAAAATTTCGCAAGCGGGAACCGGTTCGATTCCGGGTCGAGTCATGGATCGTTGAACCTGTTTGTTCAACCCTTTTTGCTGCAGTGCAAAGGTTGTCCAGTATATTACAACCCACACAAAGGTAAACAGAGAGAAGACTCGTAGCGGTGGTCCGCACCTGCACTCCATCGTAAACCAATAACGTATCCTGTGGCAGGCAACGGGTTCGATTCCGGGTCGAGTCGTATGCGGTTAGCGTTCCAATCTTTTTTCCGTCATCTTCTTCTTCTTGGTGACCCCTGGTAGGTATGCTCAGTTGTGTTGAATTCATTGAATTTGTTGGAGCATCAATGTGGGAAGTTGTGTTGAGTTGGAGGTGTAGAGGAGGTAAGGAATTAGGATAGTTGAGTTGAAGTTAAACATTGGGCGCCAGTGAACAGCACCAAAGTGTTGAGTTTGTGGTTGAACTTGAACAAGTTTACAGGATGTAGGAAAAGACTCGAAAGCGGAGTGGTCCGCGTCTGCTTTGCATTCAGGTGCAGTGTGACAGGATTTACAATTGGATGCAGATATTGTCGGTTCGACTCCGGCTCGAGTCTTTCCAGATGTGTTTTAATGAACAATTTTTTTCGCCCTCATCCCTCCCAAATAAAAATAAAAACAGTTCATTATAGGGGCCTTCTTTTTTTGTCAGTGAAGTTATAAATGCGTCGCCATGGAAGCCAATCACGTTCACCGATTGTTACCTGTTCGCGCTCATCTGATCATCTATCCTAGGTTCGGAGCAAGCCTGTCTCCGGGCCGGCGAGCCGTCCGTCTGCTTTAACTATGTGTCGGACGACATCTATGGGACCTTTAAAGGTGCTCGCTTTATCTTGCATTCTGTCCGATTTTAGTATTAAGGGTGACTTGGCTGGACGAGTGAACTAACTCACTTGATCTTCACTAGCTCAAATGGTACGACGACGAAACTTTCCTGAATTAAACTTTGAGTCCCAAGGTTTGTGGAGGGTTATACTCCGAAGCACGCACCGTGGCACCAGCGCTGCAGCCCGTTAAAATGGATAGCTGCTGCGTCATCTTGGTTTCACCGGTGAAACTAAGATACGTCTTGCCCCAAAAATCATTGGCGGCACTGGATTGCAATGGATAAGCGCAGAAAAATCCACAGAGATGCAGAACACGCGCAATTTCACGGCACGTTTAGGCGCCTCCAACAACAACGGCGGGACGAGACCTGGCACACGACCATTGAGTAGGCTTTACGTGATGTGGTGGAGCGGTACACACCGCGATAAAGGCGACCGAAGCTGAGGGGAGAGTGTTACTATGTGGGGGCGAGTGAAGCGTGCAGAGCGTACCCCTCCTCCCGAACAATCGTTTTAAAGCTCCCCACTAATCCGTGCTGCGATTTGCCCGTCTCGAGCTGCATTCGCGTTTTTACCTAGAACAAGGTTTCATGAAGGCGCCGGAATGAGCTCCGAGGTATACCCACGACATCTACAGAAATGTGGTCAAGTTTCAGCCCATTTGGAGCGTGGGCGGGCCATACCGAGAGGATAAAAAGTGAGGATCTCGGATATACCGGCGATCGCGCCAGCGATGAAATTGGCGGCGAAGGGAAGTGCTGGGGCTATCTGAGACAGTTTATAACACTCAGATGCAATATTCCCTACGTTTCTTCTTGTCTCCGCTGGCCATTGTCGGAGGAGAGAGTGGTGGGAGAGAGGTGGTGACAGGTCACGTACCACGCGGCGATGTGACTGCGTGACATTACACGCTTACACCAAACTCGATGCGCGATGGTCTACATCCACGCCTGGCAAGACTACCAGGACGCCGCTGAGGCTCTTTATGCCAAATCCCCGACTACCGTGCGTTAATTCCCACTGGCTCTCAGCGCTTTTCATCCGGCCCTTGACAGACGCGGTACTGTGTAAAGTGGAAGTCGTCAGAGGGGAAACTCGTCCTTAAAATCACGGACAACACCACAGTGCGTCCGGCTGGCAATTTTCCGTGTTTCTAGAGCGCAAATGAACCTTTTGCAGTGTATAAAATTCAAGACCTACTCCTCTATCTTCCTCAATCGTTTCGAGGCGCTTAACCTGTCGCTCATGGAAAAGATGCAGAATCGCCGCAAGGTCGAGGCACCAGCCGCCCCTGACGTGGTTATGGCCGCGCCGTCGCCCGCCCCACCTGACGCTGCCCCTGCGGCTTCGAGTGCGGTCCCCTCTACGTCAGGCGCGCCCGCTGCAGGTGGTGTGAAGAAGAAAAAGCCGAAGAAGAAGAAGTGATCGTGTTGCTAGAAGGATTTGGGGCTGGACGGAGGCTTGTTGGATATAGGCGGAAGGTCCGGGCCTGCACTCGTGTGTTCCCGAATCCACGCGGCCGCGTCTTCTCGCTAAAATGTACAGGCATGCGCCGAAATAATAGGATGGCATGGCGTTGGAAAGCTCTGGCGACTTCAGGATGAATCCATCTATTGCCTGCCTTTAAGTATCGACTAATAAGGCATCTGTATATGTCGCCTGAAGGGCCTCCCGCGCGCCGTGTCGCGCCGTATGACAGGTTTGCGTGCGCGACATTTGAGAGTCGCTGCACTAGATCCGTCTCTTGTCGACGCCTTTCAATTGAGCTCATGTCAAGAAGAATTCTTACAGTTTACAACGAATTCAATCTCTTCACAGGTTCCGCAGAATATTGAATGCCGTTCTGTGCCCAGCAAGACTCGATGGCGGATACTATACCGCCTGATGTATGAGGAGCATCCTTATGGTGGGTAGGACACCGGTTCGAGTCCGGGTCGAGTCCTTTGCTGTCCACTACTGTCTAATGTTTTTTAGTACTGGTACTTTCGATGTGCGACCTCGTACCGACTGCGTAAATTTGAAATGGTGCCGAATTTCAGGCTATATCCCTACCTACCTGCCTACCTACCTCCGCTTCATTTGACCTCTTTTGTCAATGCTGGTTTTTCCGTTGCGCTGCCGACCTTTGTTAACACTTCCTCCCATTTACAACGATGTAAAGTTGAACATGCAATTCATGAAATGGTCTTCATACAGAAAGGACCGTCGATAAAGTATGGAGTCGATTAGTGTGTCGAAAACCCCAGCATACCGATAAACGGATCTGGGGAGGTTAAATACGACCCAGATATTCTAAGGCAAAGTTACGTACCGCATAGGTTCGGAGCAAGCCTGTCTCCGGGCCGGCGAGCCGGCTATTCTCGGAGAGAGGCTTGATCCAAACTGCCAAAAAAGTGCCATGTCTTCAGAAGTGAATATCATCTCCGTTTCTTATCCGTTTCCTTAGGAATAAGTTGTTATATTGTTCATTCGATGTATGCGAGTAGATTCATCGATTCAGCTGAAATTTAAGTCGCGATACAATCTCTCTGCATGCATGTTGCGAGAGCACTTCTGCGCTATGAATTCGCACCGAACATGTGGTGCCGCGGCAGATTTGCTTAAATTTTATGGGCTCGATGGAACCGGAGGATGATTTAAAACAAGTTCTCTAGCAGAAACTATTTGCATAACCTTGTCTAGCATTCAGGAAAAATATTTCGACGCTGACGGCCGAATCAGGAAGGCGTGACGGGAACGTGACACGACGCGTTTCATTAGTGACTCACCGCGATCTTTTTGCTCGTACCCTCCGTCCCTCCTCCCTCGCCCTTCAAGCAACACTTTTCTCTCACCGTGGCTTCCCTCCAATATGACGACAACTACTGGGAGTCCCGATTTTCCTCGGGAGAATTAAAGGGGCTCACTCTCGACGCTCGACTTCAGCTTATTTTCTCGCTGATGATTTTTCTATCGGTCTCAACTCGGCAGCTCATGCACTGGCTTTTCACAACCGAGATTCCTGCGGTTACAAAGCGCATTTCGCACTTTATGGGCTTTTTTTCGACAGAAAGCACCCTGGAGACACAGTTTGCTCCCGCCCTCATATTCAATCTCTGGCGGGATGGAAATCGCTGGCCCAAAGCACAGAAACATATCAGAGAGATGGCTATTCCCTGTGCGCATGAGCTCGCGCTACAGGACAGTGACCGTGTCATCTCTAGTCCCCATCTCCGGGTGCGACTTAAAAGTCTTACCATACGGGACCTCCGAGATCTTCTACACCCGACGAAACTGGTCGAAATAATCAAAGAACTCGCACCATTCACCTGGGGTATCCTACACACCTTCAGCACGTCTCCAAATAAAGCCAGGAAGCAGCGGAAAACTGACGAGGATGTGCCGATGCCACCATCTCCGGGTCAGCCAAGTGCGGGAGCAGAAGAGGATTGGGCAGACGATCCAAACGACGACGAAAATGTTGAGGAGGGTGAAGCGAGCCCAGAGGCAGCGCCAAATCACGGGTGGTCGAAGGATTATCCGGGATTCTCGCGCAATCCTGTCTTCGTATGTTTTCTGTGTCTTAATCTTTCACCGCAGGATTAATTTATATTTAGGTTATTCTTTTGACAATATCTATGCTGGCGTTTGCCCGAAACAGGGCTACAAATGTCCTGCCGCTCATACTTGGGCTTTTCTTCAAAATATCGGGCACGAGCTCGCGTGTTGTGACGATGCTCAGCAATGCCGGCGTGTGCGTCTCGAGCCGCACTGTCGAACGTCTCAAAGTTCGCATTACGGAGGATGCCATTCGACTGGCCGTAGAACTTATTGCGAGCGGCCAAGTCTTCTTCACCATCTTCGACAATATCAATATATTCTTGCGCAAGTCTCAGCAGCGCATTTCGAACTCCAATGACATGATTAATGCGACGAATTGTGCCGTTGTCGGCATCCCGGACGTCGAGCAATTCACAGAGGCCGACTTGGCAGAGCAGCTCGCTCTTCGTGGGCAGCGCGCGAAAGCGAAGGCAACGGACATTCTCCCCACACCAGAGGACGATAAAATTGTCGGGAAATCTTTTGTGGCTCTCATCGCAGAGATGATAGTGGCCTTCACTCCGGGCAACAGTCGGTGGAAAGATCGCCAGGAAATTGCAGAGGCTGTTGCTGCGATGATGCCCGACGACCGCCAACTGCCTCCCGAAAAGTCGGATGCACGGCCATTCGGGCTGTTTGACGTGAATGAGGGCTCGAAAAAGGGTGTGGTAAAGGTCCTTGGAGCGATACAGGAGAGGAGCACACTCTCTCAACGAATTTGGTCGTCAATCTGGCGAATTTTTGTCGGTGATTGGCTTACTTCCAACAATATCCGTGCTGCTCGTCGTGACCGCACAGACGATATCAATGCGATGGAGCGCCTCGAATATGCCCAAGAATTGAGCGCGCCATTCCACTTCGCACTACAGGCCACACATATGATCATGCGGACGCACTACGGACATGCGGTCGAAGATCCAGCTTCGCTTGCAGCGCACAAGGGCCTTCTTAATCGCAAATGGGATGTCAATAAACCGAACTATGCAGCTGCGAAGTCCCTCATCCGGCATTCCTTAATCGCTCGGATATTGCATTGTGTCATGTAAGTTCTATTTTATTTATCCGCAGACTCAGTTCTCATGTCCTCCTCAGGGTCATCAATGGATTTACGCTGTATTCCCAGCTTTCAGGCTGGCAACCAACTTTAGAAG